GTTCTCTCTCGATCGCGCCGTGGCGTTTTCGAAGCGCGCGCGCGAATGAACGAACGCGGCATCACTTTGGTAACAGGACTCGCGTGCAAGAGCACGTGTGCGACGCGCGCGTCTGCGTGTGCCTGAAAACGGTCGCCTTTGAAGCGCGCACTAGGCTTCGGACATGTGTCCCCCGGCTTTTCCAGCTAGAGAGTTACGTGTGTAACTGTGTTAACCATATGTCCATAAAACGCGGTCTAACCATAGCCTCGTTAGTTCTCTCCGTCTCACTTCGCCTCTTTCTCTCTCTTTCACACCCTCACTCTCTTTCTCTCTCTTTTTCTCTGACAGCTTTGCAAGCAGTTTGATCTGCCGTGCGCTAATCTGTCCGCACGTTCACTGACTTGCCGTTCGCTCGTGATTTATAAATCTCGCGAATTATGTCGTAGCGAACTTGCGAGGATGAAATTTATTATCCGACGCGATATACCTGAAATTACTTCGAAATGCCGTTGCAGTTTCCGAGCGGGCAGTCTTTCGTAGCAGAGACGTGGAGAGATATTTCAGGATAAGTGCCTGTTGTGAATTATGAGCAGATATTGCACGTCGCACAGTGTTCTTCGATACGTGTGCGAGCGCTTCGCGCTCTTTCCCACCGCAACAGACTCCAGTTCGCTAGTTGGGCCTCGAAGTAGAGGCGGTGTCGCTTTTGTAAATACGAAACCGTAGTATCCCCCAATGCATGGTCGAGTCGTTAGAATCGGGAGATTTGTTAAGAGACCTTAAGAGGTGACCGCGAGTGTCGATGAACCTTCTGGGTTCTTACTCGCATTATTCATCCAGACCCTACAACCGTCGACTATCGGCGAGTATGAGATTTCAAAGTAGCCACACACATTTGTATCTCTTCGATCAGCGCTTGCTCGCTCATGCGGAGAACACTGTTTTTCTTCTCTTGTTATCGGGTAAAATGAAAAAGAAAAAGAACTATTATTCACCTTACCGTAAACAGTTTCAATCGCCTCAACTCTCGAGTACAATGTTGGGTCTGTCAAGATCTGAACGAATATTAGATTACTGATCAACTTTCGTAAAGGGTTTAGAAAGATTTCAAAATAGCACTTTATACATCTATATATTTTGATTTTATTACGCTACTACCTTATAATTAAGGCTTTTCTACATCTCTGGGAAAGAGATGTCTCAGAGTCCCAAAATATTCATTTTCAACAATTATGATAGTTTAAAATTATCCAGAAGTGATAGACTCAGATTGTATATATTGTATGTCCCAAAAGAATATGATTTTACGTGGAAGGTTAAAATCAGAACCCATAACATATTGTTATTTCTACATGTTATTTATTCGATTATTAGACCAGTTAGTAATTAATGCCCGCAAATGATTGCATCCAAAAATAATACGCAGCAATCACGATTTATCGGCGAAACTTATCAACAAGATTTACCATATCGCGCATCGCCGCGTTTCAATTTCTCTGGCTGGCGCGATTTGCCGTAGCACGCAGTTCGCGTTCCATTTATAGACGACGGTGAATCGCGCTCGACGAGAACGACGGCGGTGAGAGAGGTGTCGTTGCGCACCGGCTCCATGAAACGCACCCGCCGGCTCCATTCGTTTCAATTGTATCGCGATGGGGCGCACCGGCGTGAAATTAATCGCGCGGCGGTGTCTTTGTCGAGTGGCGGTGCGCGCGCGACCTTTATTATCGCAACACGTTCGAAAGAACAGACGGATCTAATGACCCCGAGCCTTGAGAACGGGCTCGCGGACGTGACACTTGCACGCGCTTAATTATTCACTCGCAAGCCGCAGGACAAACATGTTTTTTTCTCTCGCTCTCTCTTCCTCTCGCTTCGAAGCATTCTTTCCCTTTAATTTAAATCACTCGTATCCGTAGGGTATGTAGATAAATTGTACGTGGATTATTTTGAGACTAAGTCAAATAATGATGATACGTGTTGACATAGCGTTTATTGATATTCTTTCACGATTAACGTCAGCCATGTCAATTTAGTTTATATGATTGTCCCATTCGCGTCAGCCATGTCAATTTAGTTTATATGATTGTCCGAAATCGAAGCGGATTTTTCAGTAGATGTTGAAATGCAAATTTTAAAAGGTTCAATGCAATATCAGAGTGTGGTGTAAGATGTGTATATGAGCTACTATGAGCCCATAGTTATGAACTAATAATATAGCTATGGGCTTATAGTATAGCTACGAACTATCGAACGACCAATCTATCAATTTGAACAAATATTGTTCAAATGCAAATTTTAAGAGGTTAGTTAAGTGTAATATAAAATTCGTATGAGCTCATAGTATAACTATAAACTATTGAATTATCAATCTATCAATTCAGACAGGCATTGTTCTTAACTGGATCAATTAAAGGTAAAAATTGGCAAGAAGCGCCGGAATTAGTCAATTGGAAGAATGTCGTTTTCCATCACTACAATGGCAGACCTCATATACTTCTTTGCAGATTCGGCAAAAGTTGCTGGAGTTTGGTTGGGATGTTTTACCTTACCAACCGTGTTCACCCAATATGGACCTTCCAATTAGCTTATTCCGATCTCTGCAAAACTCTCTTAATGGTATGAGCTTCGCTTCTTTGGAACTAAAAATAACTTCAACCGTTTTTTCGACGAAAAAACCCAGGAATACAGGGACACATTTATTCTAATTAATTGAAACATTTGCTCATATAGTTATGGAATCTGAGTCTAGTTTAAGCTTGATTAAAATATCCGCCCTTGCGATTTTGAGTGATAGTATTTTCACTGTCGCTTCGTGTGAAAGTACTGGCACGTTTTAATTCGTTTTGAGCGTGATTATACTTGATAAAATTCGGAGAACATATTTGAAGTCGAAAAAATTTAGCGATATGAGCGTGTTCTCAAATCCTCTAATGATGCAAATGGGTTAATACGTAAATTCAGCAGATCGACGTATAATCATTATTAAGCTCCTGCGCAAAAAGGAGAAACAGAGAAGGCAGGGAATAAAGTGGTTACGTAAGCGCGGAAGAGTACGTTGAACAGAATGAAACACCCACCAATCTCTTACTATCTCTCTTCTTTCTTTCTCTCTCTCTCTCTCTCTCTCTCTCTCTCTCTCTCTCTCTCTCTCTCTCTTTCTTTCTCTGTCTGTTTGCCTCTGTCCCTTTCGCTATATCTCGAGCGAGGAGGAACGTTTCCTGCATTAGGTACGTACGTTCACGGTCGTAAAGGCGCGATGATCTGTGGGGTAGAGGGCGAGCGGCGGCTGGTACCGAGGGGGTTGCAAATTGAATAACAAACGTTCACCCTCCTCGGTTAAATCACCGAAAAAGCCATCCCCCGTACTAGCACGCTGCCTAGACGTTAACCGCACCCCCCGCGAGTTGCCGCGCGCGGCAACCCCCGACTCTGGCGACCCTCCATCTCCCTCCTTCCCCCCTCTCTCTCCGACTGCTTTGCATAACGATCTTATTTCGTAATCTCTGCCATATTGATCCAGTTTACGGCTGCGGCAGTGAAAATTGTTTATAGCGGTGGCGACGCCGCCATCAGGACGTCCGCGACGCCGTTCTTCGCCGCTCCCGGCGATATTAATCTCGTCCTCGTGTAATCGTAAAGATCCAATTTCCGAGTCCATTTCGAGACCTTCGCGAACGCTCGATGCCTCTCTTCCGCAAAGCGAAATGTGTCCGGGAGTCAGAAACCGACGCTCGCTAATTTACTGACAATAACAATCACCACCGGCGGATCTGGAAGATTGATCGTTACGGGTGGAACCGTTACAATAATTTATTAACACCGTCTGCGCGTCTGAGACCATGCGCTCTCCTCTTGACGCAATCGCGTCACGATTGCCATTGCTGTCATTGTTTGAAGAATATCGCGCGTGTTATAATCAATTACGAGCGGTCCGCGTGACGGCGGCGGAATGCACGGGGGAATCAACTTTATAGAAGCCCGTAATGATCGCATGACGCGGCTACTCCGCTGTTTAGAGCCGAGAAGAGAGAGCGAGCCGAGTCATTCTCGCTAATAAGATCGAGAGCCGGGGCTACGTATCGAACGCATTTCCGTTGCGCTCGGAAGATGACGATGACCACGACCACGACGACAACGACGACGACGACGTTGTCGTCGTCGTCGTCGTCGTCAGGGGAGCGACGCCCGACCGCGTCTGCTCACCGTAATCGCGTAATCGGCGATCTCCGAACTAAGGAGGAGACGAAAGGTCGGGACGAAATCTTGGAGCGGGAAAATAAAGTGGCACGACTGAGTGGGGGAGGTCTGATGTTATGACGGGACATTTCACGGTTGGTAGGCTCCGGGATTTAACGGCCCGTGCGATAATATCGTCCCGGGAGCTCGTGTCCCGGCGTGCTCCGTCGCGTTCTTTTCCTCGCCGCCGCTTGCCGCGTTACTCCCGAGACCCTTTATATATCGGCGCATTATGAGCGCGCTCCCTTGAGCATTGCGCCGAGCGATTCTTTCGCGTCGGGGAGCGGCTTCGGAAGATACTTATGAATATACTGCTCTCGTGCGCATCGGAATTAATCATTATCGGGAGGGACTCGTGGGTGAGTTTACATCCGGTTTCCTAGAAATTGCACGAGAGCTGGGCAAGGAACGGTAACGTTAATTTCCAAGGTGATTTCTGGGTCGGCATTTTATGAATGTTGAATAATAGTTTCAATTTTAAGAATTTGCAATATCTTTCAAGGGAACGTCGTGTTAGGAGTCGATAGGGATCGGCCTGGATGGTTCTATAAGTTTTTTTCTTTTGGAGAATGGCGACGGGGGTGAGTATCGTGGAGAAGCATGATCGAATAGAATTTTCGTTATTCACAAAAGCATGATTTATTTTCTCTTTCTCACTTTAAAATGAATTTCTATAATTTTAATATATAATAATACAGTAATAAGAAGAGTTAATAATAATAATAATTAATATATAATTAATAATATAATTATATTGTATGACATTATATAATATTATAGGACATATATATAATATTATATAATTAATATAATTATATAGCATTATATAATATCGGGATTATATAATATTATACAATTATGATGATAATAATTAATCAATTAATTAATTAAGAATAATAATTCATTGATAATAGTGCGTTACTACATCCAAAGGGGAGTGGGCTGATATGGGTTATCGTTCGTGGGTCCAAGTTCCAAACGCAATCAACAAATTGTCCGGAAAGAATCCTAAATTCACTAAGGGGAAATCAGTAATTACTTTCTCATTAGACAATGCTCAAAGGCCCTATGTGGTATATGAAATCGTTTGGAACCTGTCCGTGGATGGCCCGAACATGTGTGTGTGTGTGTGTGTGTGTGTGTGTATGTTGTGTGTATGTGAGTGTGTTTTCCACGGTAGTTTCTCCTCAGAATTCGTTTCCGTCTCTCGTCATCTGCGCGCATGCACGCGGAAGAGAGAAGACGGTTGGGGCGCGAAGTTTTCTTCGTTCTTGGTGTATGATACATCGCGACGAGTGCATTATGTATATATATATATTTCTATGTACGTATGTAAATATATGCACACGCACACATGTGTATATATGTTTACATACGTATTTTTATATAAGTATATTTATATATTTATACGGGTTACCTTTTTACAACATTACACCGCTTAATTAATATATATAATATTTCATTTCTCTCTCTCTCTCTCTCTCTCGTTCTCTCACTCTCTCTTTCTCTTTCTCTCACTTTCTCTCTGCCTCTCGCACACTATATATATATATTTATATATATATTATGTACAAACGAGAAATCCTGAAATATCCGCGTACGTGCGTATTACGAGGAGAGCGTATTCCGTATTCGGAATCGGGACGGGGAGCCAGATTCGTCGTGTATATTCTCCGTGTATGCCGTCGTGTCCATACGTGTGTTATGTATAATCGTGCCTACGCGTTATACGTGAACGCGACGGACGGACAAGTGCGGTGGATAGAGCGGTGATGGTTGGTGGTCGTGATGGAGATGATGGTGGTGGTGGTAGTAAGTTGGACGCGTGAGAACGTGGTGTACGTGTATATGTGCGCGCGCGCTCGTTCGTAAAACCGCTTAGAGACTATGTACAGGCGCGGGGGACGAGGGTGAGGGAGTCTGCGCGGTCCCCGGCGTGCCAGGATTCTGTTGCACGGAATAGGAGTTACTTTGTCGGGAGTGTTGCTGGTGCGATTGGTGGTGATGGTGATGATGGTGATGATGATGGTGATGGTTTTGGTGTTGCTGTTGTTGCTGGTGATGGTGGTGGGAGGTGGTGGAGGAGGCGGCAGACGGATTGATGCTCGCGTGATTCTGCATGAGGTTCAAGTTGAGGGGGTAGGATAGGGGGGAGCCCAGGGCCGTTGCGGCAGTGGTACTGCAGGCACCGGCTCCGGGCCCCACCGGGCTCAGTGCATGCTCATCCCCGCGTGCGGGTGGTGGGCCGCTGGTACGGAGGTTGCGTGATGATGAGGATGGTGCATTAGAGGCGGGAGATGCGGGTGGTGGGGATGGTGTGGGGTCAGAGGCGGTGGGGTCATCTGTATTGGAGTCATGGGTGTTGTCGGCTGATGGCCGAGTGTGGTGGTGGTGGTCTGGGGGGAGGTGGTGTTGCTGGTGTCCTGGCCCACCGCCGCCGCTGCTGCCGCCGCCGCCGCCGCCGCCGCCAGCTGCTGCTGCTGCTGCTGCTGCTGCTGCTGCTGCTGTTGCTGGGCCTGTGGTTGTTGCTGCTGCTGCGGCGGCGGCTGCGGCTGCGGCACCGAGTTGGAAGTGGGACTCTGCTGACTCCCGTTGTCCTCGCTGTCTGAGCAGGACTCTGCCGACGAGCTCCCCGCTCCCCCCTTGCCCTTGCTGCCGCTGCTGCTGCTGCTGCTGCTGTGGGTCTTGACGTGCTTCGCGAGATGGTCGCTGCGCATGAACCGCTTGTTGCAGACCGGGCAGGCGAATCTCTTTTCGCCGGTGTGGGTTCGAAGGTGCCGCTGCAACTCATCCGAACGTGTGAACCGCTTGCCACAGAAAAGCCAGTTGCAAACAAACGGTCGCTCACCAGTGTGCCACCGTAAGTGGGCCTTCAGATGCGACGTTTTCCCGTAGACCTTGCCGCAACCTGGTATGTGACAGCTATGGATGTTCTTCTTCCTAAGGTGCACGCCGGCGGGACCGAGTCTCTCGGCTTCTTGACAATTCGGGCAATCACAGGTGGCGCGACCGGTGTAGCGTCTTTGTGAGCGCGGCGACGGCGCTTGGCTCACACCGGCGCCGCCGACACCGACGCCACCGCCGCTGCCTTGAGGACTACCGGCGCCGGCGCCGGCGCCGGCGGCGGTCGCGGCAGCGTGGTGGTGTAGCCCGAAACCGGGCGGCCCACCTGGTAGCATCGACTTGTACGTATCTTGTAATAGATTGTGACCGGCGGTCGTCGCCGTGGTCAGCAGGTGATTGCCGGCCAATGCGAGGCTCGTCGAATAGTCGGCCGAGTAATTGGCCATTTGCGCGGCGTGCACGCCGACGCCGACGGTGCTGCTCACGTCCAGCCAGCCGCCGGTCGCCGCGCCGTGCACGTCCCACCAGCCGTCGCTCGCTTTGATACCGCCGTGCGTGGCGCCTGGCATCGCGTTGAACGGCCACGACTCGTACGGATGCCTGCCGTACACCGATCCCAGGGTCGCGCCTTCGACCTTGCCGAGTAAGCTGCTCTGGTGGTGATGCGGATCGCCGGCTGGTTGGGCGCTCGCGGTTCCGGGAAAGTACAACTCGCTACCGTATTGCGGTGCTGTCGACGCGCAGGACGTGACCGGCGCTCGCGCGTAACCTCCGGTCGTGCTGCCGGCGCTACTCGTCGCCGCCGGTCTCTGGCTCACTCCCGTCGTTGTGCACCCGCCGCCGCCTCCACCTCCCCCGCCTCCTCCACCGCCACCCCCGCCGGTATGCTGCGGCGAACTGCCGCTGCTCTGCGGGCTCTTCTTCCACGGGTGAAAACCCTTGCCCACGGCCGCGTCCGCCAGCGGCGGTGGGCTCTTGCTGCTAAGCTTGTTGCATTGCGCCGCCAACATGGCCAGCGGCGTACCTCGTAGTCCCGGATGATCCTGAAACAGCGAAATCGGAGGTCTAGATTTAGTCTTTTGATCGTGACACTTGGCGATATGTTGGATAAAATTAGCTAACCGAAGAAGAGCGCGAGTGGTCCCTGTCTGTTTTTCATTTTTTCTCGCTAAGGCAATACGATAGATTCTATGTCGTATTCAAATTGGGTATGTGTATCACGTTGAGTTTATTAGGACTATTCGCATAGAAATTTCTCGAGATTTTCCTAGATACACATTCGATGGATCTCGATCATTATGCCCAAATGTGTCCCAAAGGTTGACTACCACACTACAATATTCTCAATTAGAATGAAATTTCACTCAAGTGAACTCAGTGTCCCTGGAATTTGAATGACTTTTTACACGTAGAGAGTGAATCGTCGAGTGAAGATTTTCACTCAAAAATTACGAAGTGAATCTGAAGTTTGGTACGCCAAACTTCACAATATAAATTTCACATATATACTCCAAAAAATCCTGAGTCTGGTTAGATATCAAAGTCCATGAGTTTCCTGGTAATTAGACCTCAAGAAATTTTCTATATGGGATAAGAGCACGTTAATAAACTCTCGATTAAGCATGCCTCGACAAAGTCAGCCTCATGATCTCTATCGTCGATTTACAATGTGTTAACACACGCGCGCGCGCATTACTCCACGAAATTTTTCACGTCAGAAGCGCTCGTTACGGAGCAATCTCGTCGGCGCGATTACGCAAATCGGTAATAACAACTCTGGGGGAGGGTAGCAGGGAACGAAGGAGAGGGGGGATGAATTACATATCGCGCGTATCGATTCACAGGACCGACCATCGGGATACTTTTTCGTGCTGGCGCGCGGTTCGTAATATCGAAATCTGGCGCGGTCGGTGGACGCCCATAATCGCCGCGTCTAAATCGATTTAAAAAGAAGCCCCGGCCCAACTGAGGCCCGGGCCCGAGCTAGCAGCGAGAGAGAGAGAGAAAGAGAGAAAGAGGAAAGCTCTTCCCCTAAGGGCGTATAATGACACTAAATTGCCGCTCCTATCCTAGAAGAGATCGGTCGATTAGTCGCTGAAAGTAATGAGACCCGGGTAGAGACGCTCGTGGGGCCCGAGCTCTTTCTATCTTAGACCGGTTTCATGCAAATTGATCTCGAATCAAGCACAAGGTCGACGTACGTTTTCCACGATGCTGTATTTAAGAGTGGGCTCGAAACGTATCAAGATGTAGGCGTCTTTGTTGTTTCGTGGGAAGACGCGACCCGCACAACGAAGATGAGGATCGGTTCTTGCGGTCGTTGCGGCGTTGTGAAATATCGATTCAATTCGCGAATGAGTAATATAAGCTGTATATTATTTCTGGCGCGATGATATATCATTGACACGTGGCAGCTTACTGTATTAATGAAGAACGTGTAAGAAAACGAAAGAGTATGAGGAAATGTTCCACGATCGCGACCATTCAGATAACGAGATGAAACACTTCTCGCGAGCAGGCACCACAGATTATCAGTAAAAATTAGTTTGATAAGGATATGACTTTCGTGGCGGATTTTTCGATGTCGCTCAGCATCTCCTTAAAGACACGGAGAGACAGAGAGAAGTCACGCGCGCCCGTGATCGAACGGCAAGGGGAATTAGAGGGAGCCCAATTTGAACGAGCGAAAAATTAGAGCGGACGACAGAAGCCGACCCGAAACTTTGGATAACGAACGCAGTTCCATGCAAATTACTCCCGCGCGCGCACAGGGACGGCGGCGCGAGCAGAGGGTGAAAGGAGAGAGCGTCGCTCTACCGACGGCTACCGAAGGGCTCGAGAGAGAGAGAGAGAGAGAGAGAGAGAGGAGGTTGGCTAGGGAACGGATCTCGAGCGGATTTGGACGCGGAGAGGTAAAAGCGAGAGGGTCCGCGGAAGCGGCAGGAAATTAAGGTCTGGAGGGCCGCGCGGCCATTAGCAGCCGGCGCCATCGAGGCGACACGCCCCCACGTGGATTCAACCTTGCGCCAACAACACCGGCGAAAGACAACGAACGTGCGCGCGCGCTCACCCTTCCAGGATGGTAACGACGAGAGGAGGGAAGGTGAAAGGCGAGGGAAGGACGAGGAGGAAGAGCAAAGGGGAGAAAAAGGAAGAGCGGAGAACGAAGTCGCGACCGACCACTCTCCGTAGTCGCTCGATCTCTCCTTCGGAGAAGAAGAAGATGAAGAAGAGAAGGAGGAAGAAGGACCTGGAGTGGTCCTGCTCGGTTGCACCCCGATCATTCATCAGCGGGGCACAACAAATATCCCGCTCATATTTCTTCGCGGTAACATGACGTATTGCTGTATGCGGTCGTTATTTAGGGCGCGCGAGTGTGCGAAGCGCCATTACAGGATATCTGCCGGTGTTCTCTGTCTTTCGCGTTTAAACGCGAATAATAAGTCAAATAATTCTTACGTGACCGTATCGCGAGCGCAATTTGTACCTCTCCAAGGGAGAGCACGCGCGCGGCGCTTGTGCGAAATTATTACACTAGCCCTTGAATTATAAATGACAAAATACGAGGGGCCAGAGGAGAAAGAGGGGTGAGAAAGAAAGAGAGAGAGGGTGGAAAGAGCAAAAGTTATTATTCCGAGAAATCTGCGAGCGCAGCTACGTGATTGCTCCCCTGTTACGACCTTCTCGACGAATGAGAGCGCTCGTTGACGACGCGACGGAGGTAGCCGGGTGAACCGCGGAGGGTGTCGCGGAGGGAGAAAGGATGTCGACGTCGATGACGACGACGACGAAATCGTTTCTCACTCCCAGCTTTCACGGCGGCGGCTCCAGGGATGGAGGGATGTGCGCGCGGCGGAAGATCGCAACGGGGTTGAGTGTCTCTCTGCCGGTGTACGAGCCACGCCCTCTTCAAGCTCGATGAGTGCAGGTTGTAGGCAGGAGGCCACGTATCGATCCGCCGGGGACAATATGACAGTGGCCTGCGGAGACAACGACGTCCCTGCGATCAGCTCCCTCCGGCCGGTCGGTCTCCATCGCGGAAACTCTGCGCGTACGGCACACAGATACACGCCTTCCATGGTACGCGCGTACACGATTACGTTGCGTTTACGTTATGTCCCTGAACCGTTTTCGATCACGAGTGTCGTTATGTACAAGTCCCTGTACATAATGAATGTCTTTGTCCCTCTGTCTGTGAATCGACGCAGATTCATTCACCGTATGGGGAGATGTCAAGTCTTTGCGAGTGAAACTTTTTTTCCAGTAAAACTCCGTTAGAATAATCAACAATCACGATGTATTGGAAGTTAGAGCACTCTACTGTCACAGAAACAGATTCTCTTTGATCGACTGAAATAGTCATTCCTATGGATTAACTCTCCGCGTACAATCATACTTTTTGGGTACAATTTGGGTTTGTCAGAGCCGGGCAATTTTGAACTGAATACGTGAAGATTAAGGCAATGCTGGTTATTGACATAATCTAGTTTCATAGTTTTCTCTTTTTTTAATTGCATCAAATTGAAAATGCTTTTACAGGATGAAATATAAACGTTAATGAATGCTAGATGCTAAATAATTGAATGAAATGAACAAAATTTTTTATTTACCGACTGAGTATAAAATTTTTTTTGGTTAATTTCATGCAATTATTTAGCATCAGCTACTCTACTAACGTTTGTACTTTCATCCTGTAAAGACATTTTTAATTTTTTAAAAGAAAATTACATAATTGCGTTATGTCGGTATTCTAGCATCATCATCCTTATCACTAAAAATCCACTTTAAGTTGGAGTGAAGCATTCACTCATGCGATTGCGGCAGTTTTCACTACAGTGACATTTTACCTGAGGAAATTTCGAGAAACTCACAAATTTAATTCACGAGCAGTATGATCTCGCGAAGGATTATTCGGTCGAACGAGCAGATTATCGTCGTCCTCTCGCCGGAAGCGGCACGTGAGCGATCGCTTAGAGGTGAAAAATGTATAGCGCGAAAAGTAGACGGAGCGTAAAGAGCAGAGAGAGTACCGAACTATCCGGCATCGGCCCCTGAGTTCTCCTCGCACCCTCCTGTCGGCGCGGTTAAAAGGGAGCCGACGTGAAATGGGCACCGGTAGGATCCTTTGTTTTAGCCGCGTGACGTCACGCCCCCTCGTACCCAGCTAGGACTAATAATGCCTCGAGCTACGCTGCGCATAAATTAAAACGAAGAATATCCTCGCTGTCTCGCCTCGTCCCGTCTCCGCGTCGGTTCGGATATTTTTCCGAGAACTCATCCGCGCGCGATTGCCGTCCTGCTCTTCCTCTCTCTCTCTCTCTCTCTCTCTCTCTCTCTCTTTTTCATGAGGTCTCTCTCGTACGTGCCAGGAAGTATTGACCGCCGGCACGAGATCGTTAACTAGATCGAGTACTCGACACCCCGACCTGACTTGAGCCGAGTCAAACCGAATCGACGCGACGTCGGTAGAAAGTAAAGCGGAAATGCCGGCCGATCGTTGCTGCACGAGCTGCGTCGTGACAGCTGAACGTAAGGGAGGTAAGAGATATCCGACAGGCGAGGGTGCGAAGCAACAAACCGTGGGGTGTCTGCCGGTCGAGCTTCGTGGCGAACCGCATCCGACGGCCGTGTCAAACTTTCATTCCCCTTTCTGTTCGCGCATGTGGAACCCTCGTTTGCACGTTTGCTGGGTCCTCGTCGTCGGCGCTCATTGATGATCGGCGTTTCGCGTGCGCGCTAACGAAGACATCGACGAGAGCGCGCGGTGAACCCAATTAATTCCTCTTCCCCTCTTTCTTTCGCTTTTCCTCTTGTCGAAGTTAATATTTTCGACACGTGAATGAGACATTTGTATTCATTCAACGAGTTGAAATAGATATTTGTGATATCTGAAGCAATTCAATTCCAAGAAAGAATAATTTGTAATAATTGACGCGACTTCCCCGGAGCGGTGAATACCTCAAACGCGCTATTCTCGCAAACGAAGATGCTCCCGTCCGTTAACGACGCTCGAGGAAATTTTTTTCCCCACGACCGAGTCGTC